GAAGAAACAAAGGCTTTGAGAAATTCTCTTAATTGTGTCTCTGGGACACACAGCTAGTGATAGAACCTTGACTCTGAACTCTCCATTTTTTCTATGGGATCAGGGAAGATAAGAATCTCTTTCTGGTTTACCTTTCAAAGTTGATATGAAAGTCAAAGGGTATTGTCCATGAGTTTATCTAATAGACATTTGCTGGGGGCCACCATGTGCCAGCCTTGGTCTCATGGAGTGAAGGGCTCCCCAAGCAGTAAGGAATTGAGCAGACGTGAGCTGGGGTGGGTAACCGCCCCCTTGGGGAGCTGGCCGAGTGGTCTTGCAGAGGAGCTCACGTCTAACATGGTGCGTGGCACAGACCATGGGTGCCCTTACCCTTGATGAGCAATCCCCTTTCCCCTCTGGGCCTCCCCGCCCAGGCCCTCTTACACTTAGCCTCACAACACCCTCTTTTGAAGGCACTATGAACTCCATTTCACAGATGAAGGCAATGCAGATCCCAAGGGTGGTGGAGCTCAGGCCTGGCTGAACGTTGGAATCAGCTGGGAATCTACAAAAGCCAAAGCCCAGATGGAATCCCAGGCAATGAAATGAGGAACTCAGGGCTGGGCCCGGATATCAGTGTGATATAAGGCAGTGATACAAGGGCAGCAGGGAAGAGAGAGGTGGTCTGGGTGGTTGGGCATCGCAGTGGATGCTGCTTGCCTGGGAGCTGATTAGCTTCTGTTTATTCACATCTCCTCCAGTGGAAGTGAACCCAAATCAGTTCTCCCTCTTCGTGGCAGTGCTGCCTGGAGGCTGGGTGGACTTTGGAAAGGGGCAGGGAGAGGCTTGGAGAGGCGACTGGAGTCTGGGACTGGCAAATGCACCCCCATGCCTGGCCCAAGTCCAGGCCTGGAGACTTAAGTGAAGGAAACAGGCTGCTCTGGGCACACAGCCTCCCAGCTCACGGGCACAGCTGCCTCCTTAAATAGGGTGGGGGCAGTGGTCATCCTCGGTCCTTGCAGGTAGAGAAGCAAGGCTGTCAACAGGCAGCCAGAACAACAGTTTCCCTGGTTATTTGTGGGCCGCGGGCAGTGTGACTCCAGGACAGAGTTCTGCTCAGTGGCGCCTGGGGTGAGGTAGTGAGCTTAGTCACTCAGTCGTGTCGGACTCCTTTCGACCCCATGGACTGCAGCCCGCCAGGCTCCTCGGTCCATGGGGGTTTTCCAGGCAAGAGTACTGGAGTGGGTTGTCATGCCCACCTACAGGGGATCTTCCCCACCCAGGGATTGAACCCAGGTCTCCCTCATTGTAGGCGGATGTTTTACCATCTGAGCCACCAGGGAAGCTCAAGAATACTAGAGGGGGTCAGTCCAGATCAGTCCAGGTCAGTCCAGTTCAGGTCAGCTCAGCCGCTCAGTCACGTCCGACTCTCTGTGACACCAGGCCTCCCTGTCCATCACCAACTCCCAAAGTCTACCCAAACCCATGTCCATCGAATCAGTGATGCCATCCAGCCATCTCATCCTCTGTCGTCCCCTTCTCCTCCTGTCCCCAGTCCCTCCCAGCATCAGGGTCTTTTCCAATGAGTCAACTCTGCGCATCAGGTGGCCAAAGTATTGGAGCTTCAACTTCAACATCAGCCCTTCCAATGAACACCCAGGACTGATCTCCTTTAGGATGACTGGTTGGATCTCCTTGCAGTCCAAGGGACTCTCAAGAGTCTTCTCCATCAGTTCAAAAGCATCAATTCTTCAGCACTCAGCTTTCTTTATAGTCCAACTCTCACATCCATACATGACTACTGGAAAAACCATAGCCTTGACTAGATGGACCTTTAAAGTAATGTCTCTGCTTTTTAATATGCTGTCTAGGTTGGTTATAACTTTCCTTCCAAGGATTATGCATCTTTTAATTTCATAGCTGCAATCACCATCTGCAGTGATTTTGGAGTCCCCAAAAATAAAGTCTGAAACTGTTTCCCCACCTATTTCCTGTGAAGTGATGGGACCACATGCCATGATTTTAGTTTTCCAAATGTTGAGCTTTAAGCCAACTTTTTCATTCTCCTCCTTCACTTTCATCAAGAGACTTTTTAGTTCCTCCTCACTTTCTGCCATAAGGGTGGTGTTGTCTGCATATCTGAGGTTATTGATATTTCTCCTGGCAATCTTGATTCCAGCTTGTGCTTCTTCCAGCCCAGCGTTTCTCATGGTGTATCTGCATATAAGTTAAATAAGCAGTGTGACAATATACAGCCTTGACATACTCCTTTTCCGATTTGGAACCAGTCTGTTGTTCCATGTCCAGTTCTAACTGTTGCTTCCTGACCTGCATACAGGTTTCTCAAGAGACAGGTCAGGTGGTCTGGTATTCCCATCTCTTTAAGAATTTTTCACAGTTTATTGTGTGGATCACTAGAGGGGGTAGCCTATCCCTTTTCCAGGGGAACTTCCTGACCCAGGAATTGAACTGGAGTCTCCTGCATTGTAGGCAGATTCTTTTTTTTTTTTTAATATACATTTATTTATTTTAATTGGAGGCTAATTACTTTATGTGGGCAGATTCTTTACCAGCTGAGCTACCAGGGAAGCCCCGGGTGTTCTGTGCCTCGAACTGGGATCCTTTGTGCGTTTCATCCCCTTTCACAGCCCGCCCCCACCAAATACACACACCCCCTGCCCCAGGTCTTTGTGCAAGACTTTTCTCAAAGGCTGTTGGAGCCATCTTTGTTGCCTCAGGGAGATCAGGGTTTTTATTTGAGAAGCGTCTTGATGAGCTTGGGCCACCACGACAAAGTAAAATAGACCACCAAGTGGCTTAGACAACAGAAATTTATTTCCTTGCACTTTTAGAGGCTTGAAGCTCAAAATCAAGGTGCCAGCAGGGTTGGCGTCTGGTGACAGACCTTCCTGGCTTGCAGATGGCACCTTCTCACTGTGCCCTCACATGGCAGAGAGAGAGAGAAAGTGAGCTCTCTGGTCTCTTCCATTAAGGACACTAATTCATGATGGTGGAAACTCATGACCTCATCTAAACCTAACTACCTCTCAAAGGCCCCATGTCCATACCATCATATTGGAGGGATACAATTCAGTCCATAGCATTCCATCCTTATCCTCCCAAATTCACTTCCTCACATGCAAAATATATTCATTCCATCCTAAATCCCAACAGTCTTAACTTCATCCAGCATCAACTTTAAGGTCCAGTCTCACCTAAATATCATCTAAGTCAGATATTAGTGAGCCTTGAGATAGAATTAATCCTGGGGCAAATTCCTCTCCAGCTGTGAACCTAGAAAACCAGAAAAGTTTCATGTTTCCAGAATACAACAGTGAGACAGGCACAGGATAGGCATTCCTGTTCCAAAAAGGAGAACAGAAAAGAAGCAAGGGGTGATAGGTCCCAAGCAAGCCCCAAACCAAGCAAGGCAAATACCATCAGATCTTAAGGCTTAAGAGTAGTCCTCTTTGGCTCAATGCTCTGCCTTTCCAGACTCCCTGGGACAGTGGTTCCACCTCTGCAGCTCTGCCAAGTGGAGGTGGGGTCTCTCTCAGGCTTTCTGCCCTCATAAACCCTAGGTGGTGGTCTGATAATCACCAAATTGCCATCAAGGTGTTTCTTCCCTTTCCTTGAAGAGCAGTGGAAATGTGTAACCAAAGAGCTCTATTGTCAGTGTTTATAGAACTCAAGAAGTCTGACCATCTTCTTTGCTTCTGTCTTTCTTTCTTTTTTTTCTTCATATATATATATGTATGTATATACATATATATTTATTTATTGAAGCATAGCTGACTTACAATGTTTCAGTTGCACAGCAAGGTGATTCAGTTATACATATGGACATATATTAATTTGAAACTACTTTCCATTATAGGTTACTACAAGATATTGACTATAGTTCCCTGTGTTACACATTAAACCTTTGTTGCTTATTGCATATCTATTTTTTTCTTAATTAGAAATCTAGCATCCTACTTATACTAGGTCAAACAAGTAAAATCAAAATGTCAGAAAAATTTTAGTTAGGCAAAAGTTCATAAGCTTTCTAAATATATATATATATTATACATTCTATATATGTGTGTTTAGTCATGCTTAGTTGCTCAGTCGTATCTGACTCTTTGCAACCCCATGGACTGTAGCCCACTAGGTTCCTCTGTCCATGGAATTCTCCAGGCAAGAATACTGGAGTGGGCTGCCATGCCCTCCTCCAGGGGATTTTCCCAACCCAAGGATCGAACCCAGGTCTCCTGCATTGCAAGTGGATTCTTTAGCGTCTGAGCCACCAGGGAAGCCCTATACTATACACACACACACACACACACACACACACACACATATATGTATTCATATATATTCCTATATATATATATGTATTCAAAAGTTTTTCTACTATGCTTGACAAAGGCTTGAGAAAGAACATTAAAAAAAAAAAAGAAGAGATGGAGAAATTGGAAAACAAACTAAATGAAATGGGAGCACTGAATATGAATAGAAAAACTGAAACAAGTCTTGCTTTCTCTGTTCGTTTTAGTTCAAACCAGCAGCATCTCTGCTGGTGCAATCCCATCTCCTGGCTTCCCTCGAGGACTGATTAGCTCTGTGGTCACACCCAGGATCTCTTTATGAAGCGGCTGCTCAGCCACACTCTTAGTGTTCTATTCAGAGCAAGCTTTCTCATTTTTTTTTTTTTTTTTGCAATATAGCAGACAGAATTTTCCAAATCTCCACGTTCTGATTCCTTTCTGCTTAACAACTCTTTCTTCATCTCTCTCCTTTTGCATTTTACTCCCAGGATTCAGGAAAAGACAAGCTGCTCCTTCAACACTTTGCTTAGAAATCTCCACAGCTAAACACACAAATACATGGCTCCCACGTTCTGCCTTCACAAAATACGAGAACACAGTTCAGCCAAGTTCTCTTCCACTTTGTAAGGAGGACGGCCTTTCCTCCAGTTTCCAATACAAAGCTCCTCGTTGCTGAGTTAGACTTCATGCCTTTAACATCCATGTTTCCAGCTCATTGTGACAAGAGAGGCCACTTATGCAGCGGTCAGCGCCCAGCTGCAGGTGAGGGTGAGCTTGCAAACCATTTCCTTGCAGGCAGCCCTGCCAGCACCTGGGCGGGGAGCCACGTCAGCGTCCACGCCTCTGCTGAAAGCTGCCTGCACGTCACCAGTGGATCAATCAGACATTTGCTTGTATTCAGGTCTTTTGCAAAGCCCCTCTAAATGCCCACCCCGCCCCCCACACACAAATTTTCCAAGGCCCAGAAGAGTCACAAGCTCTCCAATAGAAGGGAGCCTCTGCTCCCAGAGGTAGGGTGCTGATGGGAAGAAAAAAAAAATCCCAGCATCACTGCACTGATGGGTCAGGAGAATGGGGAGCCTCCCCCTTTCTTTTAGGTAGTCCATACACGGGCAGCACAGTGCAGTGGGTTGGTACCCAGGCCTGGGAGCCAGAGTACCATGTTTTAAGTTCTGACTTGGCCCCTTCCTAGCACTGTGACCCTGGGTTAAGTCTTTCAGTATCTCTGTTTCAGTTTCTTCCCCTGAGAACTGGAGATGATAATACCAATTCCCTTCTCTTGGGGGGATGGTAAGAATTAATTCTAGAAACATGTTTACATTAGTCTGTGGTACATAGGAACTGCTCAAAACACTGATAGTTATTATGATGCACCCATGACAATGCACCTGGCTAACATCTGACAGCCAACCAGGAGCGAGGAGGCAGGAGGAGGCATGGTCCAGAGCAGGGGCTGCTGGGAACAGGCCTAGATGGAGATAGGGCCATATTGGTACACAGTTGCCCTGAGCCTCAGTTTCCTCATTGGTAAAGTAGAAATTGCATGAATAACAGGTGCAAATCTCTTCTTACAATGGCTGCTTATAGTCAAAGTAAAATAAATATTTACATCTACATTTTTCAGATAAACTGAGGCACAAAGAAGTAAGAACTTCCCTACGGTCACCAGCCAGTAACTGGGAAAGCTGAGATTTAAGCCAAGGCCATCTGAATTCAGAGTCTTGTGTACTCACTTCAAACCAATTGCTGAAAATAAAATATCCACTCATTTTTTTCATTAGGAGCAGTTAACAGGATAAGATGACATTTGCCAAACAAAGAGATAAATTTGTTCTTAAACCTAATTTCCAGTGAATTTTTTCTCTATCTTCTTTTGACAGACTTGCAGCCTTTAAAGCAGAGATTATATAAAAATCCATTCGAGTTGACATTAGTCATAACAGACTCTTCTGGGGGCTCAGGCTCATTAGTGGTGGATAGGCTTAAGCTACAGTGCATATACCCAAATCCACATGCCATGCTGGAGTGTCATCCTAAGAAAATCAAGCTGTCTAACAGTGCCAGCTGATGCTGCTTATTTCCGGACATACTCAAGACCACCAAAGTAGAAACGAAGGGTTTAGAAGCTCCCTAAGGAAGGCTGCAACGCAAGTCTGGCCTGTGCTCATAAACTAAACACAGGCGTGGGGACCTGGTGACCATCGCTTGGCTCCCTTTTCTACCAGCTTCTAGTTGTGCCTCCTTGCAAACTCAGGATCATTCAGCGGCATCTATGCTCAGGGGAACGTCCTCAAAAGCAGACACTCAAAGGGATGCTGAGAAAACATCAGAGCCCTTGCTAAAATGCAGATTCCACGGCTTTACCCGATTCGGTTGGATCCCATGCTCCGTGAACAAGGCCCGGGAACGTGCATTTTCACGTTCCTCTTGGTAACGCCAGGCCCGCCCTCTCAGCCCACACCGCATATTTCAGGCAGGTGTGGGGACAGCTCTAGAGGAACCTTCCTGGACCCTGTCACTCCAAGTTCTGTCTCAAACCTCAAAATTAGGATCCCCTTGGAGGGGCATTCTATGGGGAGGGGGGGGACAGCGGCTCCTGCTCAGGGCTGTGTGAACCCTGGGGTGTACAATAGCAGCCGCCGTCCACTGGCTTTTGTCCCTTTAGCGGCCTCGTGAGACAAGCCAGCCTCAGGAAAGGGACGCTCCTCCGCCTGGGCCCACGCGGCCACGCACCCAGCCGTCGGGCGTGACTCAGCTCGCGCCCCGGCCTGGGGCGGGGCCAGACGAGCAACAAAAGAAGCGTTCGAACCCGCCCTCCCGGGGCTGTCCGCAACTGCCGCGCCGCGCGGCCCCGCCCCTCCCGGAGGCGGCCCTGGGGGCGGCCATTGCTGGGCCGGCCGAGCCCGGGGGCGGGGGCTGCGGCTCTCAGGCGGCCCCCGCCCTCGGAGTCGCCCCGCCCCCGCCTCGCCTCTGCGCCTGCGCGCTGCGCTACTTCGCTCGGCCGGGCTCCCCGCGCGGGCTGGATCCGGAAAACTCACCTGCCCGGCGTTCCTGGCACCCGGACCAATGGGGTTCTTTCTTCGGAAGAAACCAGCTACCTTGCGTCCTTCCGCAGCCTCTGTCTGTCCAGCCGCGCGCACTAGTGAAGTGAAAGTCGCTCAGTCGTGTCTGACTTTTTGCGACCCCATGGACGGTATAGTCAGTCCATGGAATTCTCCAGGCTAGAATACTGAAGTGGGTAGCCTTTCCCTTCTCCAGGGGATCTTCCCAACCCAGGGATCGAACCCAGGTCTCCCGAATTGCAGGCACATTCTTTACCAGCTGAGCCACAAGGCGGGCAGGAAACCCAGATTGTCACTGTCCTGTCACTGGGCCTCCGTAATGCTGGCCCATCCCCACCGGGTGCCTCTGCCTGGGAAGACAGGGCGAGTCGCCAGGGGCACCCACCCTCCAGAGCCCGCAGCTCTCCCCTTTCTTCTGCCACTGGTTCTCAAAGGTTACTGCCCGTTGGAACCATCCGGGGAGCTTTTTAAAATAACTCTGACCAACTAAAATCAGAGCCCCGGATGTGGGACTCCAGCATCAGCGTTTTGCCTAGCTCCCCAGGTGATCCAGTGTTCAGCCAGGGCTTCTAACCGCGGACAAGACGCGGGCTCCCCAGACTTTCATAGGCGTCGAAATCACCTGGAATCTTGTTCAAGTGCAGATTTCCTCATAGTAGGTCTGGGGAGGGGCCTGAGAGACTGCAGTTCTATCAGGCTCCCAGGCGGTGCTGAAGCCGCTGGTCAGGGGTGGGAGGCTGCATCTGGAGGTATGTGACATTAACTGCGCCTTATCCTTTTACCTTTTCTCTCATGTAGTGACAGAGAAAACATAGGCTTTGGAGCAGATGGACAGGGGTTTGAATCCCACCTCTGTCACTTCCTAGCTTGGTGAAATTGGACTGGTTCTTTGTATGTAAAATGGGGGCTTGATACTTACCTTGCAAATTCCTGGTGCAGATGACCTGAGAGGGTGTATGAAGGCACCTGGACTCAGCAAAGATCAGCGGTATTAGGGTGACTCAGCTCATGGGAGCGGGAGGAGGGGAGGTGGCAAGGAGGCTCCACACGAGAGCCCCGAGAAAGGTAGTGGCACCATTCATGTTGGTGGTGGACTCCACCCTGGGCCTGGTTCATCTGAGACTTTTGGCCAGAATATGTCTCTTTTGATGGTGCAGTGAAGGGGTTGGAAGTCAGAGGCTCTGCACTAAAGCTCACTGCCTTGAGACAAGTGGTGGGGACCATGTTGCAATGAGATTGTGCGTGTAGTGAGGTATATGGATGTTCCATTAGTCTCTGCCCAAATGCACATTTAGGATTTTCTCTTCTTAATACACGCGATTGTAAGACTACCTTCTTTCCTCCAGTGTTGCTCTGATGGGCAGCTCCGTGAGCAGGATTTTTTTTGCTTTCTTCTACACAGAGCCCATGGACTCTGATAGCAAGGGACCTGCAGCTGAGTCTTGGAGCTCTGGTCTTCTGGCTGCCTGTTCTGGACTCCTGCAGCCTCTCTGAACATGGCTGGCCTTGTGTTCCCACACTGTTGTATATTCATTGTTTCATGTCCTTCTCCTTCTCTGACAGTCAGCTTGTGAAGGTAAAGGCTGTGTCTTAGTCCATCTTGAGTTCCCATCACCCATCAAAATGCCAGACACCTAATGGGTGCTGACTAAATGCTCACTAGCAACACAAGAATAACTGAGCTGTAGGATTTGGGGCAAGTACTCACTTCTCTGTTTCTTGGGCCTCTGCTCTTTTATGTAGAAAGTAGGGTTCCAACTAAATTTGATCTCTCAGGCTCCCCCTGACTCTTAACAGTGGGTGAGTTAGCGTTGCTCTTCATCTGGTTGTCATCCACGTTATTTTTTCTTCCCAGGTACACATTCCTACACTTGACCTTGTTTTTTTTTTATTTAATGCTTCCTCAGGGATCAAAGATGGGCTTTATAAATGCCCTGCCAGTTAAGGCCTGAAATTCCATTCTTTTCTCACCAACTTCTTGCTTAGACCATCTGTCTGGGTTTTGTGAGAGGCAGGTTTGGCTGATCATTTTAGGCTAATGGAGCTAGTTCTGTCTTTCGTGTTCACCTTGCCAGCTTCTGCAACAATCCTTGGGCATATCCCCTCTGGCCTCAATGGAGCCAACACCCCCTGTCTCCTTTCATTTGCCTGGGGTTCCCTTTGGCAGAGAGAATGTACACACTGCTCAGACCAAGGGAGGTGCCACCCCCTCCTCCTGGTGTGTGATACGGGCACTGGACCCAGCTGGTCACACAGTCCCCGAAAATGTCATTACCCACTGGAAGAGATGTGTGACAGTCCCCATCTCCTCTAAAATACCTCTCACATTTACCTGTTAGAGCTGAAAGAGTTCAAATAGAATGTAGTTTCTATTTTTTTTTTTTTTTTGCCGGTGGGGGCGAGTGTCTTTTATCTTTCAGGAAAGCTGCCACAGTTGAATTTTCTGTAATATTGGCCTAATGCTTGGATACCTGCCACTAACAAGTCACCAGGTATGGTGCTGTCTGCAAAGATGGCCACGTACTGGCTGCCCCTATTTGAACATGTGCTGTTCCTCTTATCAAAAGGTGGGGTCTGGGGACTTCCCTGGTGGTCTAGTGGTTAATAATCTGCCTCCCAATAGGACACCGGTTCTATCTCAGGTCAGGGAACTAAGATTCCACATGCCTCAGGGCAACTAAGCCCTCACACTGTAACTATTGAGTCTGAGCACCTCAGAAGGAAACTCGTGAATCTTAACAAAGATCCCATGTGTTGCAACTAAGACCCGACACAGCCCCAAATAAATAAATATATATGTGTGTATATTTTACAGAAGGTGGGTTCTGTTCCCCTCCCTGCCTTTTTTAAAAATTTGTTTAAGTTTTAATTTTGAAATAAATTCAGATGTACAAGAGAAGCAAAAACAGTACAAGGAATTTCCGTATATCCTGTATCCAGTTTCTTCCAAGTTTAACATGTTATACAACTTCATTATGGACACTTGGAAATTAAATTAATACAATACTAATGTTTCCCTCCCCTTGAATCAGGGGCCTTAAGACTGGCTTGGACCAATAGAGGGAGACAGACAGGGTGCACTGTTCCAGTTCTGGGCTGAGGTCCTTTGCACTCTTGCCATCCCAAGCCACAATGTAAAGTCCAGGCTGTCCTGAGCAGAAAGCCAGCAACTGACCTCAAATCCCCAAGTGTGTGAGAGAGGCCCTTGTCCCACTAGTCTGGTCAGTACCACATGGAACAGTCCCGAAACAGCACTGCTGAGCTCTGCACAGAGTTCTGGCCCACAGAATCAGGAGCAAGAAAATGCTTTTGTGGGTTTAGCCACTAAGTTTTAGGTGCATTTGTTACACAGCAATAACTAGCTGAAGCATCATACTCTCTGGGTCCTAATTTTTTCATTTGAAGAATGATGGGTCTACCTTGCATCTTTGAGGCCAAGCTGATGCTGCTGTAGCTGGGGTCAGAACCTCTCACCATAAATAAGTCGTCTGATATCTGGGCCTCATTCAAGGGCTTGAAGTCACGAAATATACCTGCACTAATGCAACTGAAATTCATCAAAGGAAACAAATGAACATATCACCTCAAAGCAGTGATTTTGGAGTAGGAATCCCTGGCTTTGAATTCCAGTTCTGCCACTTCCTGGCCATCTGATCTTGGACGAACTTCTTTCTCCAAGTCTCAGTCTCCACATTTATAAAGTGAGGATAGTGATATTAATGTTACCTACTTATAGGATTAATCTGAAAGTTAAATGAAATAACATTCATCCATTGCTTAGCATGGTACCTGGATATTGAAGGTATTCAATAAATGGTAGCTATTCTCCTTATTGGCTCAAATAATGGTGACAGAGGATGAGATGGTTGGATGACGTCATTGATTCAGTGGACATGAGTTTGAGCAAACTGTGGGAGATATTGAAGGACAGGGAAGCCTGGCACGCAGCAGTCCGTGTGGTTGCAGAGTCAGACACGAATAAGCAACTGAACAACAATGCTTTTACTCATATCTGTCTGTAGAGGGACTGCACATTAACCAAATCACGATAACCCTGCCCCAGCCAATAAGAAAATGAAATTATACATGACCAGGGGCACTCACAGCATTGGTGAATACTATCTCTGGAGGTTTAGAAAAAATGTAAATGATTTCATCTCTGGAAAGAAATGAAGGTGCTGGGTAACAATTTGCTTTTGTTTCTAAGAAGATATTGCCCACTGAGTTTATGATTAGAGAGGAAGGTCGGATGAAAAGGATTTTAAAAATCTGTGGCTTTGTCGAAAATAAAGCACAAGAAAGCGGCATGCTGGTTAGCACATTTTTAGAGAAAAACAACAGTGAAACCAGAGAAATGAAAGCCTAACCTTCTACCATCTGCCACAGCGGATTCTGTGGCTCTACAAGAATCTCATTAGCATCTTCTAAGAGGCTGGTTGTGCCACCAGCACAACAGTGATGGGAAAGGGACACTCACACCCACGCAGCACACCCTCTCACACAGCCCGAGCCTGCTCTGGCTGTGAGGTGGCCAGAGAGGGACTTGGTCCTCCCTCCCAATCCCCTCCCTTGTACACAGGAATTCCGCAGGCCTGCACAAGCTCCGGTTCAGCAAGGACAGAGTTACCCTTTAAAAAATTCTGCTCTGGGAGCAAGCACAGTGAGGAGGAGTGATTGGCCTAGCGAAGACAAGAATAACACCGCAAACCCACATTTGCTTCTCGTTCTGGGCCTCCTGGGTCTCCAGTCTCCTGGCTACATTTTCAAGTGCTGCATTTTCTGGAGCTTTTTCAACCTGGGTCTGCCAGATTGGAGGTGCAAAGAGAATGTCCTCCCCTCCCCAGCTCCTCAAATCACCTTCCCATCTCACTTCCCAAAGGAAAGTCAGACAATAGGAGACTGTTCTGCAAGGGCTTTCAGCTACTTAGCGGCTGTGAAAAGAATTTAGAGCTTTGAGATGAGGAATGTCACGGGAGGAAAGGAGGCCAAGTCCAAGAGATGATTCCTAAGGAAGTTTTAAGGAATGCTGGGCTTTTTCCCCACGATCTTTCTCATTCTTTCTCTGAAGCAGTATGTAAGGCTGGAACCTGGGTGTGGTGGTGTTCAGTTGCTCAGTCATGTGTGATTCTTTCCAACCCCACGGACTGTAGTACACCAGGCTTTCCTGTCCTTCACTATCTCCCGGAGTTTCCTCAAACATCATGTCCATTGTGATGCTGTCCACACACACACACACACACACACACACACACACATCCATACGCATATACACATGCGTGCGCACACACACACGTGTGCGTGCACACACATGAATGGAGCAAATACCACCTAGTGATTTACTCTTTCTATGAAGACTAGAATCCATGAGATTCCAGAAATCCACTAAACCTTTCAGGAACTTCTGATTCAACCAGACCCTTTTACTGGGGGCCAGAATTAGAGAAACTCAAGTCCAAAGGGTCACTTTTGTCTGGGAGTTTGTAATTTCCTTAGTTCTGTGTCGTCACAACAAAAATTTGAAGTGATGGACCAGTGTTACAGCCCTCAGATGGGCCAGTATTACATCCCTCGAATGGACCAGTGTTACAGCTCCGTGTTACAGCTCAGTTTTATTTAGGGAGTAAAGGAAAATACATCCTCGAGGCATGAGGGAATGCAGACCCAACAGACATGAAGAGAAGAGAGAGACCCTCCGCCCTTTGACTCCTCTTTTTATGTGTTTTTTCTCCTCCCCCTAGGCCTGCCCTATGTAAATTGGGCTAGCCAGGAGTGCTGTTTGTTTTATCTGAGGTCCGCACTCCGGTCCTCTGACCGTCCTTTCTTCTATTTTCGCCTGCTTTTCCCTTCCTTTTCTTTTGGCCACTGCCATTTTGGACTCCTTTTTCCTATTCTAACTACCTAACACTTTGATCCAATCCAGTATAATATCAGTCCAGAGTCACTGGACTCCTTTACCCCAGTTTCCTGATCTAGAGATGTCCTAGGTCCCTCAGCAAAGCATTGCCTAATTTCATGTCCCCTTGTCTCCAAACACTGATCACATGAGCTGGGGGCTCCTTTTTGAGGGGTCCCCAAGGATTTCAGAGCCCACGTGGGCAGGCTGGTCAGTCTGTGTGGAGGGTGAGGAAGTAAAAATAGACCACATAAGATCTGGTGGTCAGTTCATTAAAATGCCATGAGCTCGTGGGCTGGAACTCTTAACCTGCTAGATCCATCATTCATGAAACTGAATGACAACTCTGAATCACTTTTTTTCAGGACAATTTCAGCTAAGGCCGTGGAAATCAGCACTAGTCAAACTTACTATGAATCAGTGAGTCCTGTAAGGTTGTGAGGGACCCCAAACCCAACTAGCTTGAGCACGCTGCGGGGCTGTATCGATACCTATCACTAAGCAGGGCGGCAGGGGGCTGGTGGGCTCGGGCCAAACAAAGCCCCCAGAGATGTCTGATTTACCTTATTAACCTCTGTCTCTGTTGACTTTTCTCTCCCCACAGCCAATGGACAAAGGGTGCAGACAGTCCCTTCCTTATGGCACCATAGCTTAGCAACCCCTGAAGCAAGAAAGGATGTTCTCCCAATATCTGTAAAGTTGAACGGAAATTTCCACTCTGGGCAAGCGCTGAGCACGTGGGCGTGGGGCCTGTGAATGACATGGGGGTGGGGATGGGACAGTGACCCCAAGGAAGGGAGGGCATGCCATTTCAAAGATAGAGGACTAGGGACACTGTGTTCACACACACATACACAGACACACAGACCGGTACTTGCCTCGTGTGCATGAAATATCTTCAATGCTTACTAGACCTTTCTCTTCTATTTTCTTTAGACTCAGATTTTACAGCATAGGTGCTGACTGAAGGGATTCTGAGCCATGATCTGATGTGTGTTTTCCATCACTATCAGTCTCTAGTTCTCAGCGGACACTGATTGGTATCCTGCAATTCCACTTGATTCTGATACTATCTACCCAGAGATCATTGCATCAGACCCCACAGTTTAACGGCTCAATCCCACCAGACTGCCCCCCACTTCAGAAGCCAATTATAAATCTAGGTTGTCACCTGTGCTTTTGACCACACGGCCATAAATCAGAGGTCCCCACAATTAGGTCCTTGGATTTGAGTAATTTGGTAGAGCAACTCACACAACTCAGAGAAACGTTTACTAATGCTTACCAGTTTATTATGGGCTTCCCTGGTGGCTCTGGAGAAGGCAGTGGCACCCCACTCTAGTACTCTTGCCTGGAAAATCCCATGGACGGAGGAGCCTGGTAGGCTGCAGTCCGTGGGGTTGCTAAGAGTCAGACACGACTGAACGACTTCGCTTTCACTTTTCACTTTCATGCATTGGAGAAGGAAATGGCAACCCACTCCAGTGTTCTTGCCTGGAGAATCCCAGGGACGGGGGAGCCTGGTGGGCTGACGTCTGTGGGGTCGCACAGAGTCGGACATGACTGAAGTGACTTAGCAGCAGCAGCGGCAGCAGCGGGGTGAGGCAGCGTCCTCCTCCATCGCGCTCCATCCTGTGACACGCTCTCGTCACAGCCCGTGTCAGCAGCTGAAATGACTTTTCTGTTTACTTAGTTTTTCTTGCCTGTCTCCCCCACGAGAATGTATCTCAGCGACAGGGACCTTGTCTGTCTATTTGCTGCTCCATCCCAGCACCAGACATCACCACAGGGCACATAGTAGGTGCTCAGGTGTGAACTGACTGAGGAACACATAAGGTTGTTGTGAGGATTGCATGTGTGAATACCAAGCCACTTCAGTCATGTCCGACTCTTTGCGATCCTATGGATTGTAGCCCGCCAGGCTCCTCTGTCCATGGGATTCTCCAGGTAAGAATACTGGAGTGGGTGGCTGTGCCCTCCTCCAGGGGATCTTCCTGACCCAGGGATCAAACCCATGTCTCTTATGTCTCCTGCATCAGCAGGCAGGTTCTTTACCCCTGGTGCCACCTAGGAAGCCTGTTGTGAGGATTAAACGTATGCTAAAACAACTGCTTTGGAAAGCTGGCCATTTCTGAGGATACACTTACAAGACCCAGTGATTTGACCTCGAGGAATAGACATCAGAGACTTGGGTACAAATGTCCAGAAAACACCTTGTGCAAGGATGTTCACAGTAGTCTTATTTACAGGACTCTGAACCAGAAGTAACTTGAATGTCCATCAATAATGGAACTGACAAGTTGTGGTCTTACAAGGGAATAAGAAGGGCTGGCCATGGATTAATCTCACAGATGAAACACTGACCAAAAGAAGCCACACACGAAAAGGACATGCTGTATGATTCTACTTATATGAAATTCAAGAATAGAGGAAATCAATCCTGGCTGTGACCGGTGACCCGTTTCCAGCACTCACACGGGCCAGAGTGACGCAGGCAGCTTTTTTTGAGGGGTGGGGGGTGGTGGGAGGAGGAAGTGAGACAAACTCAGTATGAAGCAGGGGGAGGATTTGCATTCGAGAAGGTGGAGGGTCAGCAGCAGATCCTGTGGGTGGAAAGAATGCCGAGGCCGCGGTAATTTTAGAAAGCTATGTGCAAGGCCGTCCCGGCCAACAGAGGTTTGTAGAACAGCTGGGAAAACAGAGAACTTTCAAAGAACACCAGAGAGCATGCTGCGGCTTCACGCAGGAATCGGCTCTCAAGATGTAAAGCGACGATGAGGGTGACCTCAGGTGTGACCTTTGCTGCGGCAGGTGGCTTCCTGCCCGGCCTGGGGGAGGGGACTGTGGACACTGGTGGGAGAGCAGCGGATCCTTTTCCCGGCCCAGGTCTCCAGGGCTGTCCCTGGGAGAAGGTGTTCCTTCATCTTGCAGTGGAGCAAAGTCCCCCTGGGGCCCCTCTCGCCTCAACTGAAACTATGCAACGTGTGAACAAAACAGGAAGAGACTGTAAGGTGTCTACTTCATCAGCAGGAGATGGAGATTTCCTCTGTAATAAAAGCCCCTGGAGGCAGCACACACAACGACAAGGGCCCTCTGTCCCTGCCTCCCCCAGCATCCATCTTGCAGCCCTTCCCCACTCCCCATCACTCATCTGTCATGTTGCCGCAATGGCTTCAGCGGGTTGGGAAACTCTGAGATCAAAATTTACTGCTCAATGTGTCATCAGAACCTTGTGAAACCTAAAGTAAGCTGAATTCAGAAACCATGTGACGACAGAGCCCCAGAAATACACCCCAGAGAAGGACATCCTTGGGGATGCCGATAGGCAGGGGAGCGGCTGTTTGATTACGCTGCTCATTCTGGTTAATTACACACAGGTATTTTCTCTGATTTGTCTCCTCAAATATGCTTTGCTTTAGCTGCTTTAAAAATTCTTTACTTTCTGGAGGATTGGAAATGTGTTTTATTGTTCTCAAGAGTGTCCGGGTTAAAAAAGGGAATTTGGTGAGTGCTATTCACGACGTGTGGATGAGCATACTCTAGGATTCCATGTGTAATTCCAATCATCCTTTGGTTTAAAAAAAAGGAAAAAATGCATTCCTACAAGAGCTCCTCCAACCTGAAGATAAACAAGTAAGGAGATGAGAGGTCAAATTTCGAAGAAAGGGAAACTTGGATTTCAGTTCGAATTCAAATACTGTGTAGTCAGCTCTGAAGACTGACTGTATTGTTAGAAAATGATGCTGGAGTGAAATCAAGAGGGTAGCCTAGCAGATCAGTCATCTGCGGGCATGACAAAGAGTCAGTGAATAAGCGGCTCCAGGGAATGAAGAACCTGAAAATCTGTCCAGGCAACCAAAGGACAGACCAGACATCATCCCAGCCAAGCCACACTTCCTCACTTGCAGTGGTTAAAAGACTTGAAGGCAAGAGCCCAGCAAGCCCAAATCTTTTTTTGTAATAAGTTTTTAAAAAAATATTTATTTTTTATTTGGCTGCACTGGGTCTTAGTTGCAGCATGCAGGATCTTCATTGTGTCATGCGGGTCCTTTCGACGTGTCCTGCAGGCTCCAGAGTGCAAAGGCTCGCAGTTGCAGACTGTCTCAGGTGTCTCCAGTCGTGGAGCCTGGGCTCAGCTGCCCCGCGGCAGACGGGATCTTAGTTCTCTGTTCAGTGATTGAACCTGCTTTCCATGCATCAAAAGGCAGATTCTTAACCACTGGATCACCAGGGAAGTCCCAAGCTCACATCTTATTGGTTACAAAAATTGGCTGAAACAAATCACACTGATGATAAATTACATCAAAATGAAGTGTAACTCCTCCCAGGAGAAGGGGACGAGGATGAAATGGTTGACTGGTATCACCAATTTGATGGACATGAGTTTGAGCAAGTTTTGGGAGTTGGTGATGGACAGGGAAGCCTGGTGTGCTGAAGTCCATGGGGTAGCAAAGAGGTGGACATGACTGAGCAACTGAACTGACTGACTGAGATGTAACTGGTCTTACTGAATTAGATGATGTTTACAGACTTTTCCTGCTCAGTCCTTTTAGATCTTTGAGGGACTTGCTTTGTCTCTGTCTCTGTCACCAGGGCCATGTGTTTCTAATGAGTTGTCAATCAAGATTCCTGACCACAGGGGTGGGTTTGTACCCCAGCCTTTAGCAACAACGATCAGAATAAATGGATAAGGAGACCCAAGCAGGACAGATTCATTGCTATGCGGATGCTGGGAGAAAACATTTTTACTTAAAAATTTTTTTCTGTTGAGATTGGTATGGGAGGACCGATGTAGAAGCCGTGGTAGGAATAGCTTTCTATAGAATGACTTGAGAGCACCAAAGGCTAGAGGGTGCTGAATCGAGATCGAGGCAGGAGTTCTTAACCAGGACGGCCAAGGATAGCAACTGCTGGTTTAGAAGGACCACATCTGATCCCTGAGGCCTCGATCCGGGTAGCTCCTCCTGGTCCACAGCTGCCAGTGACTTTCCTTGTCTTACTTCATTTAGTCTGAGTGGCATTTCTGTCATTTGTGGACAGAAGAAATTTTGTCATTGTTCAGTCATTCAGTCATGTCCAACTCTTTGCAACCCCATGGACTACAGCACATCAGGTTTCTCTATCCTTCACCATCTCCCGGAGTTTGCTCAAACTCATGTCCACTGAGTCGGTGATATCATCCAACCATCTCATTCTCTGTTGTCTGCTTCTCCTCCTGCCTTCAACCTTTCACAGCATCAGGTCTTTTCCAATGAGTTGGCTCTTCCCATCAGGTAGCCAAAGTACTGGGGCTTCAGCTTCAGCTTCAGCATCAGTCCTTCCAATGAAAATTCTGGGTTGATTTCCTTTAGAATTGACTGATTTGATCTCCTTGCTATCCAAGGGACTCTCAAGAGTCTCCTCCAGCACCACATTTCAAAAGCATTAATTATTCAGTGCTCAACCTTCTTTGTGGTCCAGCTCTCACATCCATACACAACTACTGGAAAAACCATAGCTTTGACTATATGGACCTTTGTTGGCAAAGTAATGTCTCTGCTTTTTAATGTGCTGTCAAAGTTTGTCATAGCTTTTCTTACAAGTAATCTTACCAAAAAGCTATAAAGACTCTGTCATCCAAGTTCTCATTGATTCAGCACGAGTGATAGGTTAGGCACTGTTCCAAGTGCTTGCCTTATAGTAACTCATTTAACTTAATGGTTACAACATCCCTGGAGTTAGAAAACTATTATTGTTCCCATTTTACAGATGAGGAAATGACATCAAAAGATGAAGAGATCTGCCCTTATTTACACAGCTTGTAAGGGTTTCCCAGGTGGCACTAGTGGTAGAGAATCTGCCTGCCAATGCAGGAGATATGACCCAGGTTCAATCCCTGTGTCAGTAAGACCCCCTGGAGGAGGACACGGCACCCACTCCAGTAGTCTTGCCTAGAGAATCCCATGGACAGAGGAGCCTGGCGGGCTATGGTCCACAGAGTTGCAAAGAGGCAGACAGGACTGAAGCAACTTAGGACACACACACACACACACACACACACACACACACAGCTTGTAAAATTAGACTGGATTGTGAACCCAGAAACTTTCTTAACCACCTCACCTCAAAGTAGAACCAAGAAAGGAGGCCAGTTCTCTGCAAGAAGCCCAGAAAGGGGGTCTCCAGTGAGAATATGAGTGCTTTTATCAGAAAGATGCTTTTGGCTATAATGGAAAACCCCAACCCCATCGACTTGCACAATTATTTAACACATCAAGAGGAAAGGAAGTGGGGCAGTTCTGGGGTTGGCTGATACAGGGGCTCATTTTAAGTCACTGGGTACCCCACTTCTTCCCACCTTTGTGTTCTGCCTGCTTAGTGCATTGGCATCTTCCTCTGGCTGGTTCTCTGGATGACAAGATGGTAGCCATCACCAGGCATCATATCATCACAGAACAACCTTTCTCAGGCAGAGAAAGGTACTGTTTATGCACTGTGTTTCTTATTATCAGATAATAGGAACATCTAGTGCCAAAGTCCACTCAGTAGCATTCCCCTGGTGTTTTATCACAGGACAGGGGGATGGGAGCATCAGGGTTCACTGGGGTCTGTGCTTATCAACTGGGACACTGGAACAATATGGGAAGGGGTGCGGTCTATTGTTTAGATGATTCAAGGAGGGCCATGACCAGTAGTGGTTAGAGATGTAAAGACAGGAGATGGTTAATGACCTACAATGCATGAGACATCTATTTTTGTGACCTTGGTGAGTTTTGAACATTCATACAGGTGAAGAAACTGTTCAAAATACCAGAGCTAAAGCCTAACTGTTTTTTATTTATAAACCGAAAGCATTTTTAAAAACACAGTGTATTTTCTAGGAAAGCAATTACTGGATACATCAAAGGAACACTGAGCTTTGTTTTGTTTAGAACTTTCCTGAGAGTTTGTTCTCCATTCTGGAAAATCACATTAGCAATGTCAGCACCACTTATGGAATTTTCATCTCCACTACAGCAGACCTGTATGGGCCTGCATTGCTAGCTGCTAGTCACAGTGATTCCAGGTATCGGGCACCTACAGTGTTGTTACTCATTTCTTCTCCTGTATTCCCACTGAGCATTTGCACAATTGAAAGAGTTGCTTTTTTATTGTAAATTATTTTCTTTTTAATTCCTTGTGCTTTAGTCAGTTCAGGTAGTTGACTTATCAACATGAGAAATTTATTTCTCACAATTCTAGAGGCTGGAAATTCTGGTATAGAGGGATAGAGAGCTCCCTGGGGTCTCTGTTATAAGGGCACTAATCCCATCCACGAGGGCTCCACCCTTAGGACCTAAGCACCTCCCAAATACTTCCACCTCCTAAAACCATCACTTTGGGGGTTGGAATTTCAACATATGAATTTGGGGGGGATACAAACCTTCAGTCAATAACACTTTGTAATATGGTTACTGGATATTTTGAAAAGATATGTACATAATATATTATCTATAAAATTCACTTCAGTGTTGTAAAAGGGACATTATAAAAATACTTGTTATGAAAAGAGGACATTGGCTTTGGTAGGATGAGAGCCACTGTTCCCAGCCCCTGAGACAGGTGTTCGCTGTCACTGAAGTGGACGGGATGGACCTCAGCAAGTTCCTCTTAGGGGTGTGACATTTTTTTCCTTTATGCTCTTCCTTTTCTATATATGAATGAGCTTTGTGTTACTTTTATTTTTTATTTAATTTTTTAATTGAAGGATAATTGCTTTAAAATGTTGTGTTGGTTTCTGTCATACAACAACGTAGGGGAAAAGGTTATCAAAGCAAGTTAGAAGAAATAGTTTTTGAATAAATGCCCA